CATGCATGTATATATTTAAGAAAAATATGTTATGTTTATATATTAAATATATTTATATATAATTATATAAATGTATGTACATGTAAATATTTTCAATATATATACTGTGTGTATTTATATATACATAATAAATAAACACAGTACACACATATATTATGTAAACAAAAACTTTTATTTTGGATGCGATTGATCGCGATTGTTTGACAGTATTAATATTTACATGTATATATTTATATTAATATAACTTATATATAAATCTATTTAATATATAAACATAACATATTTTTCTGAAATATATACATGCATGTGTGTATTTATATATACATAATAAATAAACACAGTACACACATATATTATGTAAACAAAAACTTTTATTTTGGATGCGATTAATTGTTTGACAGCACTAGTTTTCTGGACATCACACACTCTTTGATCTTCTTGTCGGACGGCTCCGAGCCCGGGTCGAAGATCCCTCGGGGCAGGTGTTGGATGAGGCCGATGCGCTGAGCGATACGGACCTGCTCCTCCTCCGTCAGCTGAGTGGCCAGCCGCGTCTGACTGGGTGTGGGATGGTACACTGGCACCTGCGCCCGCTCCTGGGGTCACGAGAGCGTTTGATCACACATAATTAATGCAATCCGCTAACATGTGGTTAGAGCACACAGAAGGGCTTATTAGAACTTAACACTCTTAAAAATAAAGGTTCTTTATTGGCATCGACAACCATGCAATCTTTTCAAAATAGGGACAAAATAGTTCTTTATAGTGGAAAACGGTTTCTTAGATTATTAAAATCACACTAAGATAAAATGGTTCTTTTAAGAATTGATCACTGAAAGGCAAAAAAAAAAAAAGGTTCTTCTGTAGCATCTCAGCGAAAACCCTCTTTTGGAACCTTTATTTTATAAAAGTGTGTAGTTTAACAAAATTTAAAAAATAACAAAAAATATTAATTGACACAATCCTGTAAATGCAGCCATTAGAAGATATATCCATGCTGTATGTGAAGAATACGAAGATTAATGATTTTTGAATCGATTACATTTTTAAAAGATTACTTTTATTTATT